CCTGTTTCACGTTTGTATGCACTGAGCCACCTTTCTTGCACTGGGACTATTCATACACGCAAAAGTTGGTAGTCGCTGGCTTTTCATTTATGCCCGCGGAGATCAACTGTGTTAAGACGATCGGCTTCTCGATCGTCTGGCTAGGATGTTCCTACACACAAACCAGCCAACGTTTCGGAACGTACTAAGGGAGCGTCATGCGAATTAATGTTGTCTTTTGTGAGGGTGTCACCATTCATTAAATTGACCTGCTAGAGCCGAAGAGGGCGCTGACTGGAAGACTTGGGCGCACCATTTAACAACGGAAGGGTGCGTTGCATCCTGCCTGGTCCTATCCCAGGCTTCCCAATATTACGTAGTACGAAGTGTGGGACCACCTATAAATGCAGCAAGTTCAGACTACTGTCTGTGTAGATAGGTACTTAAGGCATCTCTTTCAGTACTTTCCAAAAAGTCAATTGAGGTCTCCTAGAATCACTCGTAGAGCTGCTTTTAGAAAACTTGAATGACAAATTCAGTCTTCTGGGGCTGTGGTACTTTTGACCAAACGTTGAGAAGTTTTTAAAACAAGATTTGAGTGCCTTGCTACTGTTGCGCATATCAATTCTGAGAATAGGGAAATCCTGGTGACGGGCTAGTCAAAATGGTATGTTTTTCAATGCAATAAAACTGCGATTTTTATGATAACAAGCCTAGCTTCAGTCTTGTGACATGCCTAACAGCTTTCCATGGGCGTACGAGTGACCGATATTCACCAGACCATATGATGGAAGCCATAATGGCTTAGCCGGAGTGACTTTTAGGAATTAGACCAAAGCTGTGGGAAAGGGTCAAGTAAACGAGAATTCGATCGTCTGGGCCCTTGGCCGGTCGAACGTGTATTTTCAGAAATGAGAGTCACCGCCGACAGAAGAAAGAATCGAAAGCATACGTTTAAAAATAAGAAGTAAGTAGGTAAGTATTCAAGTGGCCAGAACATGACAGCGTAAGAGAATGCAGACACTTATGAACCGCCGGGCTGGGGGGATGTTTTCTAACACTTACATTGCCAGTGTTAATCGTGAATGCAAAATTGAACACACCTTCAGCATAACAAATGTCGTTTCCAGTATCGTTTGCCTTGCCGATAATTCTTGGCTGCAAAAGATTCTGCCCCCGATTTCGTATCATTGGCTGTGTCCGCAAGCCAGAAAGACCACAGGGAAGTTTATGCGACGGTTATTGAGCAGCCAAGCTTTCGGTATTTGCCGTTGTGTATAATCGTCTCAACAGCGTTAAAGTTGCGAATTCTTTCTGGTTTCACTACTTGAATGGCGCCTCCGACTTCCGGTTTAACATCGTAACCTCCAAGTGATTTTAACAAACTCGTGCTGGCAGCTGGTGGCTGGTTCCCTCAATGTAGTTGCCCTCTCCACGGCCGTTAAAAAGTGGGTTGAAAGGGACGAAATTCTCCCACTTAAAAATAGAGTCTTTCCGTCGCAGCATTTGCCGACGAAAAGACAACCTAAATACGGAGCATGTTTTCCTTTTGGCTGCGGTCCACAGGCTCGGTTTTTTGGAAAATATCGCGTGACTGAGTGGACCGGCTACTCCATTTGCCATACAACGCCTCACTTTGAGTTGTTTCACCTGGCCCAACGACCTGCACCCAGCAGAGTTGTTCACGTAGGATTGGCGGTCGCCGTCCTGATTACTCCTCTAGATTCAGTCCAACCTTCATACACCGGGTCTTGAGTGAAAAAAACACGGATGCAGTACGAATAGTGCAAATGAGTGAATGAGCAACGTGTTCATGGTATTATTTTATCGGCAGCATGGTTGGCTGCAGTTGGTAGGAAGGAGCCGTGTCTACAGAGCAGGTGAAGAAAGTCTGTCATTGATTTGCTGAGTTGAACGTCGACAGTAAATCTGTAGGCTGTTTCGGGAGGTCTTGGTTTGAGTAGGGAGCTACCTCTGGTGATAGAGGAGATAAGACCTCGGATGTTGGCAAGGACGTCCTGACTTTGGCACGGATGGAGGAACTGATCTGCCAGACAGAATCTGGATCCGATACTTGATGCTATCCAACCCGACTCATGAAAAGGCAGCAGCAAAGGCGTTTTCCTATTCATGGACATCAAAAGATGTCGCCGGAAATACAGGGGGATGAAAAAGAATGATAATTTCGTGACGATTGATCTCAGCCACGACTGCCGTGCAGCTCACACCGGGGTCACAAATGTCCCGGTATTGGTCGAACATTCTCCTTCATCTATGTCCCGGTATCTTATGCTATAGGGCGAGAAAAGCCACCGCGACCTTCAGACCCGTTTCCAAATAGGAAGAGGAGTTTGACGCCAGTGGAAAAGTCACTGCTTTCCACCCAGAAAGGTGGAAGCACAAGCTGAAAAAAAGACAACCGGCGTCCCGAGTGAGAGAGGTGAATATGACACCTGCATGAGTTCGTCGAACCCCGACGCTTTAATGGGGTCAGAGGCATGGCCAGAGTACGTTGGCTGGCTAGTAGCCCTCGTTGGATCAGGACCCCTCCGGGTGGGCCTCAATCCCGGCGGTGTGGAGTAGGTGAAGTCGGAAAAGCGTGGTCGGGGGGGCTGCTTCGTCATCAAAAACAGAGATGGAGAGGAGGGGAGATAGCTCCACTGTAGAAAGGTTTGGTGTAGCAGACCTTGGCCGCTGTGAGGGCGGGTGGGATTGCGCTCGAAGACGCGTCTGCTATGGTTCCCGCCAGAGTACGTCAGAACGACTGGTGATAGAAACCGGGTATCTCTTCCTATCATTTTCGCCCCTACTCCAACCGCTTGTCTTTTCAATCTGCTAAACGCCACTTTCAGTATAATGAATGTCCCAACGAAGCCACCGGCCCATGGCTCAGTATTCGAGTTTTGAACTTAATAGCGTTCAATGATCATAGCACAGAAATCAGGTTACAGTCCCCCCTTTCTTTTTAGACATTGTTTCCTGTATATGTTATTAGCCGCTATGTTGCTGCCTGCGAGGGCTCTAAATTGAGTTCCAAGACGCAACGGGACAAATATATTCCGTAACCTGGTCGATGAAAGCCGTTCCGACACAGAAGTATCGGAAAAACTGTCGATTTCAGGCAGAAGAGATCCCACGCAGCCTGGGACTAGTTATCCGGTCTGCTGGCAACTGCTAATGTTTAAGAAATTTCCGTACGTGGTTCTATGTATTTAAATGTACCCAGCTGTTGGTATCAGGTCAAATTAACAATTTTCGGTTATTGTGTTACTTTGCTAATATTTGGAAATACCTGCCGTCTCTATACTGTGGCACTTTTAACAGATAAATGGTAAATGATGAAGGATTAGTAAACTGCTTAGTTTTTTTACTACTTTATTATTACTTTTTACAGAAATTCTTGCAGCAGCACTGACGTTCGCACTCGGTTACCCTTTCCGGTCTGAAAATAATGAAGAACACAGGACAGGCCTTATAGGGCAGGGGCGCTTTTATTTCGTACGATGCAGACAGACACCTCGACAGGCAAGCGGGGCGGACAGAAAATCAATGAAATGCATATTTACAAACTACTTCCAAAAATAAAGTAGACATAAATATTAAATGAATTTGAATTGGCAAATGCACGTCGTTTTAGATAATTCTTCATCAAGCCCCTACGGTAACACACACCGCTGAAGAGCACCTCGTCAAGCTGGTAGTCACCGCTCACGTGGAGTGCCCACTGTTCAGAGATACAGCTCGGAAAAAGCTTCGATAGTTACAGAGCAGATGGAGAAGCTGACTGGCTAAGCAACCTCGTCAGTCTGTGGCTTAACTCTTCACTTCTTGATGCCAGGAGATTGGTAGCGTCCGTCTAGTCGACACAGTAACGCCAATATAAAACTGCTAAAATCACAAGCAGCCCTTTCAACTATATAGTCAATCACGCTAGATGAAGCATTGAAAGTTTGGGAGGGTCCGCCGCTGATCAGACTTTAGGTGGTGTTGGGACGGTTAGTTATATTGCCTAGCTTCAGTAGGCGCCGCAAAGGCTGAGAAGGGTCAGAATCACACGCCCCCGTCACCGAAGCCAAGAACGAGATTGCTGTCTGTTGTCGGCACTCATGCTGGAATTCGAGAATGCGTGGCTGTTTGCAAGTTTGTTCGGGACACT